TTTAACTTGTTGGATACTGAACATTTATTTCTAGAAATATTCTTTGTTCTGAGATGAAGTTAAGGTACTTCATCCTTTGCATCTTAGTGTTAAGTTTTTCTAGGTGGCAACAGATAGGTTGATGTAAAGCTTTTTCCACTGTTGAAATTGAGTGCTTCTTGAAATTGAATGCCCAGTGTTCTTCAGGTTATGAGGTTTTCCATTCTGACAGTCTGACATTTTTCTGAGGAATCCTACATATAAAATGGATACAAGCAGGGGTTGATTACCGAGAATCTCCTTATCTTTGCAGTGTTTTGCTGTATCAGGTTTTATATTCACTAGTGTATAGCAAGTATTGGGAATTACCACAGTGTTTTCATATAATCAGTATGGAGATGCAAGTCAGTCATCATGGACTCTTTATCTTACTACTTTGCCCTTCTTAACATGTGACCAAGGGTGGAAATGGCTTATGTAGTTTTATGTAATTTGAGATTTAAAGGTGAGCTCTGTTTAGTTACACTTGTAGGTTTGGGAGTTCTTAGCTTATAGGCAGTGCTAGTTGTCATACTAGGAAAAGATGATGTCTCTCCAAGAGTCATTAGAATGAAAAAAGCAGTAGTGTGAGAATGTCACTGCAAGTGACATTACTGTGTTAACAGCGAGGCAGAGGAGGAAGAGATGCTGATGCCTTCAGGTAAGAGAGGGTGGAGAATCATGAGTACATGGCCATGGGCGCTGTCATGGGTATTTTACTTTCAGCTCCAGTATTTAAACAGCCACCTCCTTTTTTTTTGTTTTAGGGAGGCATTATCTATTTTGTAAATTATGGTTGAGATAGCACTAGCAGTATTCTTTACTGTCACCTGTAGGATATAACATCTAGCAGTAGAAAGACAGAAATACATAAAGTACAGTGATGCAAGGACTTTTGAATTAATTCATAGTGTGATGGGAAACTCCTCGTATGTTCTGAGTAGAGAAAGAACATTAATATTCCTTGACTTAGTTTTTAAAGATGGTGATTATCATGGCTGTACAGAAAATTAGTTATATGAGGGCTTGGAGTACAAAGTAAAAACAGTTTAGTTAGATTTGAAGCTGTTTGAGTAATTCAGGCAATAGATGAGTGATAGTGGTAGAGATAATATATCTTTAAGGAAAAGTGACAGGATCTGCTGATTGGACTGTAAGGTGAGAGGATAGAGGAATCAAGGATATTAATAATTATTTTTTTGTGACTGAGAAAAAAGTTTTTTTGATGAGATAGAGGAAACTGAGGAGGATAAGTAACTTTTTTATATGATGTAGTTCAAATTTTTTTCACTTGATATGATTTTAAGCTCTAGAAACTGCAGAGAGTGTAAAAGTTTTTTCCTCTGGACCAGTTAAGGGTAACTTGCTAACATTAAGTCCTATTATCCCAGACTGTTTTAGATTGTAATTATTAACAATAAAGGCACCTGCCCTCCTGTTCAGGATGTAGCCATGAAAACCAGGAAGTTAACATTGGTAGAACAGCATTGTCAAACCCATGTAACTCATTCAGGTTTTTCTGGTAGTCCTAGTAATGTCCTTTTGAGCAAAGTAGTTTAATCTAGGGTCATATTTTGCATTTAGTTCTTGTGTCTCTTTTGTCTTTCAGTCTGAAACAGTTCCTTAGTATTTACTTTCATGATCTTGGCAGTTTTGAAGTTTACAGAACATTTAGTTTATGGAGTATTTTTCATTTAGGGTTTGTCTGATGCTTCCTACTGGTTTAGTTCAGGCTGTCAGTTTGGGGTAGGAATACCACCGAAATGATGTGCTGCTCTTCTTGGTGCTACCTACTAGGTGGTATGTGATTTTAATTTGCCAACTAGTAGTGACCTTAACATGGATCATGTGACTGAACTGGGTTTCTACAATAAAAACGGTACTGCTCCCTCCTCTCTCCTGTGCTGGGCACAGAACCCAGGGCCCACAAGTGCTAGCAGGTGTTTTTCTGCCTCTGAACTGTAGCCCCATCCTGGTACTCTTTTTTTTTTTATTATTATTGTTATTGAGTATGTGGGAGGAAAGTACATTAAGACTAAGTAATTTGTTATTCATTACATGATTTAACCTACTAGTTAGAGCATTTGTTGATTTTTCTGGGCTAAATTATTAGTACCACTGAATTCTTATTTTTTATAATTACCAAAAATTCAAAGACATTAGTTGGGGCATCTGTTGGGGGAAAGGGGCCAGTAACAGCACAGGATAGTGCTATAATTTTTCTTACTACTACTTTTTTGCATTTTTCATACTTTCATGTTGTGTATTTCAGTTTTATATGTCTTAGTTTTTTTCTCTTTTAGCTGTGCATTATTTGGAAGCATTTTGCTTAATTTCCAAATGTTTGGAGTTTTTCTGTTGTCTTTTAGTTATTTGTTTCTAGATTGATTCTCTTCTGGTTAGAGAACAAGATTTCAGTTACTTTAAATGTATTGAGTTTATTTTAAGTCTCGAATCTCTCTTGGTGGGTGTTGTTCTGTGAGTGTTTGTAATATTGGGTAAAGTATTTAATGTATGTATATATTAACTTTAAAAATTTTTTATTTTAAAGAGAAAAAATAAAAGTTTCAAAACAAGATGTTAGAGTAATGATAATTAATACATTGTATAGTTATCTTTAAATTAATTACTCAGAGTACAAGATATAGGCATTTAATAGGCCAAACAATATTAGCACAAGCCTTTCTTTTCAATGAAAAGAAATTAAAGGCTGGAGATAATAGCTCAGTGGTATAAGCACTTGCCTGGCAAGCCTGAGGTCATAAGTTCAATTCCCAGTACCAAAAAAAAAAAAAAAAAAAAAAAAAAAAAAAAAATCAATGAAAAGAAATTAGTAGTGTATCTATCGTAACTATCGATATATGTATATTTTTTCTTTTCCCTTCCTTTTCTCCATTCTCCCATCCCTGTTTCTCTTTCCTTTTGGACAGTTTCTTCCCATTTCACAATATCTATTGTACATTTTTTATCTTATTTACTCTTTCAGCATCTCACGCTAGGGAGATAGTACAGTGTTTACACATGTGAGTCAGATTTATTTCATTTATGAGTATGGTCTCGAGTTGCATCCATTTACCTATAAAAGTCTCTAGTTTATCCGTCTTTATGGCTGAGTAGTACTCCATTGTATAAAAAGACCATCTTTTTTATCCATTCCTCAATTGGTGGGCATTTGTGTTATTTTCAAGATCTAGCTATTACAAATTGTGCTTCTATAAATATGGGTGCACATATATTGCTTTGGTATGATTTTTTTTTTTTTTGTATGATGTTTTTAATTCTTCTGGAAAGATACCCAGCGGGGGGAATAGCAGGGTTAAATGGGACCTCCAATCCTAGTTTTTTGAGGAATCGCCACAGTGATTTCCAGAGAGGCTGCACCAGTTTATAGTCCCATTAACAGTGGAGAAGTGTTCCTTTTTACCTACAGCCCCTCCAGCTTTTGTTATTGGTTGATTTCTTTATAATAGTCCCTCTGATACCTTTTACATTTGAGTATTCTTTTAAAGTCTAGAATTTCTATTTTAGTTTTTTATAGTTTGTTTTTCTATTAATCTATTATTTCTATTGTATCTATTTGTGTAATCATTTTCATCAAATTTTCCTTTAATTTAAAAAAATTTTTTTAATAGTTGCTTTGAAGTTTTTGCTAATTCCAATATCTAGGCCAACTCAGAGTTAGTTTCTGTTGACTGTTTAGTACTTTATCTTGTTTGTTTGTTTGCTTTGTCTTTTTGAGACAGGGTCTTGCTATGCAGTTCAGGCTGACCTTGAACTCACTTTGTAGCCCAGGCTGGCCTCAAACTCCAGTGATCCTTCTGTCTCAGCCTCACCAGTGCTGGGATTACAGGCATGGGCCACGGGCCACCTCGTCTGGCTTAACTACTACTTTATCTTGAGTGTGGGTTACAGTCTCTTTATTTACTTGCTTCATGACTTTAATTAATTAATGTTTTAGAACTAGAAAGGATAAATAATATACTGTAGTAACTCTGGAGTCTGATTTTTTTCCCCTGGATTTTTAAGAAAAACTAACTTGCTGCTTCTTGATCTGTAGAATGTTTTCCATGTTTGTTTGGCTGCTGTTGTGTTTGTATAGCTATTTTTGTCTCTTGTTTTTTCTCTTTTGTGGTTTTTTTTTAAGACCAAACTTCCTGTGGGTTGGTCCTGTGTTGCATAACTTAGGGGTCAGCCAGTGATTGAGGTTGCTCTCAGATATCTCAAGTTTCTGAGGCTTCAGCCATCTGCTGATGAATGTGTATGGATTTGAGAACATAAATTTAAGGCACTTTTGAAATGTGCTTCAATTTTTACTTTGTACCTGGCCCTTGTGGGTCTCCTTTGGACATGCCTGTAGTTTCCCAGTCAGCCAGGAATTTGTGGAAAGCCCATCTACTTATTTTATTGTTCTCTCATTCCCAGGATTTTCTCATTACATTTCTGGCTGGTCTGCCACCTTTAGTCAAGAAAGACATTATACTTCTAGGGCAACTACTTATTTTCTCCATTTGTTTTTACCCTGTTTATTTTATTTTTAAATTTAATTTTTTATTTTACTGACATTGTCATTCATTATGAGTTTACATCTTTTCTCATCTAGGATATATTATATTTGTTCATGTCCCTTTAGATTCCTGTGGGTTGTGGCAGTTACTCTGGTGTGTTCGTTCTCTCTCAGTGTCTGTGTCTGTGTCTGTCTCTGTCTGTCTCCCTTTGTGTCTGATAATGGCTCGTTTTCCTGTATTTTCACAACAAGTGTTGCGGGGTGTGCTGAACACCTGCTATTTTTCTGGGAGTTGGGATTTGGTGTGTTAGGTAATGGTGCCTACATGATAGTCCCCATGTATAAAGTCCTTTCTCTGCCCCAAAACATGTAAAATATTTGTATTATCTCTCATTAGTGTTATTTATACCAAGTTTTTTGTTTTTATGGCTGCCTGTTCTGTCCCTTACTATTTATGTTTATCTTTTTACTTCCTAAGGAAATAAAGAATGCTGACAGGAGAACCATTTTTTTAATTGCCATTTGTGAAGTTGGTTGCCATGATGGGTAAGTTCAAACTAAAATGTTTTTTTCGTTATAGTTAAAAAATAGAGTGAGGGAGAAGAAATTTTCTCTGTTATTTGTTGTGATAAGCCTTTTTATGAAGAAATTTCATGATATAGGAGATTTATATAATGTTTACATTTACTGATTTTCAGCTAAGTGACTTAGTAGTACTTGTTAGGACACAATTAGGAACATTCAGAATAAACCATGAAGATGTATTTTGATTTGTTTAGAGTCTGATGGTAAGAAAAAAATAAAATTTTATAGCAAATAGAGCAGCAGATCATTGGTGCTCAGGGATAATGTTTTAAAAGCTTTGTTAATATCCAATTAACAAAGTGGTATTATAAGTTTAATTTAAAGGTGTAGGGATGGGTTGTGGATATTCATTTTACATAGCATTTTTGTTTTCCTTCCCTCCCTCTTAGTGTTGATGGTTCCATAGTAAGGAAGAGATTAGACAGGGGAACACTAGAAAGACATTGAGCAGTGCCTACCTTATCCTAAATTGGAAAAATGGAATAAATTGCATGTTAGATTAACTTACGTCAAAGTTTGTCTTTTTCACACTTTTCCAACCTCTTCCTTAAAAAACCAGTGCATTATTTAAACACACACATGTGCTCTCATAAGCTTAAAATCTTAAATTTGCCTGTATTCTTTAGTTGGAATGGCTGTTTCACTTCCAGTATAAGTACAGTACTTATAGCAAGTATTCAAGCCATACTTCACCTTTGAAATTTCTTTTACTTTCTCATTTGTAGTCAGGAATGCAGTGCCCTCTTAAAGTCCAGTTTTGCCACTCTAGTCAGCCTTAACCTCTACTGAAGTTATATATACTTTTACTGAACTCCCATATGTGTCTTATTTTTGTTGCTTGTACTTGCATTCTGAGCTATATATTAATCAAATAGATTTCTGTTGTTTTTCTCAAATAATAGGGCATTGTAGGGAGCAAAAAATAGCCATTGCTTAAATATATATACAAAAGTCACAGAAAACCATGACTATTTAAAAGTGTGTGTCACAGATACTTGAATTTTTATTGAGAATATTCTCATTATTTTTCAAGTATAATGAAAAAGCACATAAAGTATCTAATTCAATATTTTTAAGTCTGGCATGGTGGTATATGCCAGTAATCCCAGCACTCAGAGGCTAAGGCAGGAGGATCACCACAAGTTTGAGGCCAGCCTGGACTATATAGGGAGTTCAAGGACAGCCTGAACTACGTAGTGAAACCCTGTCTCAAAAAATGCTCCCCAAAATAAAAGGAATATTTTAAATAAAATATTTTATTTGAAATTATCTTAAATATTTTGTGATTTTGTGTTTAATTGTAAGTCTTCCAATATATGCCAGAAACCCATTGCTGCTTCTCTATACCATTGATCAGAGTCTGGGACCTTCGGGGACCCTCCTTGCCTGTTGGGTTAGCTCATTCATAATTGTCTACTGTGTGTAGTACCCTGTGACCAATACAGGAGATTTTAGTAGTGTGGAACAATCTAAGAATTGTTAGAGAAAGTGCTTATTCTAGTTTGGCTATGTTCACAGTATACTTGATCTTTTGTGGATTTGTTAGCTCACATGTCCTGACTCTCCAACCCAGAAAAGAAAGAACTTAATTAGGTTGCCCAAAAGTATAGGCATTTAAAATGTTCTAAATCACTACATTTACATTTGATTCCATTATAAATTTTGTTTGGTGTCTGTGATAAATATGTTGAAATTAAAATTCTGTGTGCACTGTATTTTAAAAACATCTAGATGATCAGCAGGCTTTGAACTCAATCATGCAAGATTTGGCTGTCCTTCACAAGGCCAGTAGACCAGCATTATCCTTACAGGAAACCAGAAAAGCAAAATCTTCATCACCAAAAAAACAGGTATTTGTTTGAGTAATATTTTAATATACTCTGTTCTATGAATTGTTTTCTTAATAATATCCAGATTTATAGAGGATTTGTTCAATATATTTAACTTTTACACTTTTGAATCAAATGTTCTGTGGAACACATTTTCTTTCTTTCTCTCGCTCTCTCTCTCTTGCTTTTTTTCTTTCTTTTTTGTCTTTTTGAGACAGGGTCTTGCTATGCAATTCAGATTGGCCTTGAGCTCACTTTGTAGCCTAGGCTGGTCTCGAACTTGGAACGATCCTCCTGCTTCAGGCTCCTGAGAGCTAACACATTTTCTTATAAGTATGCATTTCTAAAAAAAATTTCATTTAATGTTGTAACTAACTGCTAAAAATCATATTTCATTCATGCTTCATACACTTAAATAATTTTCCCCAAAATATACTATAGATATTCACAAATGAGGATGATTTTGATTCCTATAAATAAATTAGTCTTGGATATCGAGCATGAAAAGTAGAATTACAGTAGTCCCCTCTCATCCATGGTTTCACTTTCCACAGTTTCACTTACCCATTGTCAACTGAGGTCTGAAAATATTAGATGAAAAATTTCAGAAACAAGCCTGAGTTTTAAATTGTGTGCCTTAGTTGGGCATGGTAATACATGTCTGTAATCTAGCAATCAGGAGGTTGAGGCAGGAGGATTGTGAGTTGGAGGCTCCCTGGTCTACATTAGCCTGAACTATGTAAGAAGACCTGTTTTTTTTGGTGGTGGGGGGATACACACACACACACACACACACACACACACACACACACAGTGTTTTCTTTTTTCTTTCTTTTTTTTTTTGTCTTTTTGAGACAGGGTCTTGCTATGTAGTTCAGGCTGGCCTTGAGCTCACTTTGTAGCCCAGGCTAGTCTCGAACTTGCAGCAATCCTCCTGCCTCAGCCTCCCGAGTGCTGGGATTATAGGCGTGCGCCACCACTCCAGGCCAATTTTTTCTTTTCTTTCTGAGTAGTGTGATGAAATTTCCTGCTGTTGTATACTGTCCTACTTAGGATATGAAGAGTCTGTTTTTCCATCGTATCCATTCTATATGTGCTGCCCAGTTGGTCACCTTAGTAGCTATCTCAGTTGTGAAATCAGTTGTTGGAATATTGAAGTGCTTGTGTTCAGATACTTTATTTAATAATAGCCCCAAAGTACGAGAGTAGTGATGCTGGCAATTTGGATATGCCAAAGAAAAACTGTAAAGTTTCCTTTCAGAGAAGAGATAAAAATTCTTGTTAATAAAGAACAAAAAACTGTATACTGGTAGGTGTTGTAACATTTACCCCACAGGGAGGGTGGACCATAGTATAGTAGTCTATATTTCCCTTTAACAGGGTTTTTAGCAAATGTCCCATACCCCTGGTGCCTTCACTGAGAGATATTGGTGCTCTTTTCTGCAGATTCAGCAACATAATTCTCAACTTACCTTTTTGGTAGACACTGTCAACTGATGGGAGTTGGTATTGAAAATAAGGTCCTCTTTCTTGTCTGCTCTATATTAACTGGGGGCTTAGAAAAAACTGATTTTGAAATTTATCATTTCATTACAGAACGATGTCCGTGTCAAATTTGAACATAGGGGAGAAAAAAGGTAAGGAAGGAAACATTACGTGGCAATTAATTTATTTAATAAAGCATTCTAATTGAGTATTCTAATTAAACCCTTAAAGATTCTTTTCAGATTTGAATGAAGCTTTATGGCTTACAAATTAAGAATGTCAGGTAACGTGGTTAGAGTATAAGATAAAATTTGTTAAAATTCACGCTAAACATTAGAAATGATTAACGTTGGGGCGGAGGATTTAGCTCAGCGGCACAGCGCCTCCCTGGCAAGCGCAAGGTCGCGAGTTCGATTCCTGATACCGGAATACAAACAAACAAACAGAAATGATTAATGTTTGCACTTTGAAATACTAGGAAGTAAGGTAATTGCATATTCACATTTTAAGAAATTTTTACTCATTGGAAGTTAAATATATTCTTATAACTGTATCATCCTTCCAGATGCTGTATGGAATTTATATATGGATTTAATGTTTATAGTTTTTTTTGGTTTTTTTTTTGAGACAGGGTCTCACTATGCAGTTCAGGCTGGCCTTGAGCTCACTTTGTAGCCCAGGCTGGCCTCGAACTCACAACGATCCTCCTGCCTCAGCCTCCCGAGTGCTGGGATTACAGGCGTGTGCCACCACGCCCGGCAATGTTTATAATTTTGATTATTTTCACACATTTTTATTAGAAATGTTTAGGAAGGTAAGTTGGAATAGTGGCTGCAAATTGTCAGAGATGTAAAACTGTCCTTCTGCTTCATGTCTGTATCTCAGTGTAGACATGATGTTAGTAGTTGACAGTAAATTGCTAGTAAGAATGTTAGGAGTTAGAATGGAATTTCATTTCTGCTGTTAGTGTCTCATACTATTTTAAGAAAAACTATTAGCTTTAAATGGCTCGGAAATACATAACTTAAAGATTTAAACTTTACACAGAGATTTTGAAAAAAATGCAGTATACTAGACATACAGTAGAACTATTAGCCAGTCTAGGTTACTTGAGAATCTTAATAGAGTCCCCAATTGTCAGGAATATGTACCCAATTGTTTTCATTCATTCAGCCTCATTTTTTTAAGAACTTACTATATGCTACCCCGAATGCAAACAGTGAGCAAGGCAGATCTGGACTCTCTCTTTGTGGAGTTTATAGTATAATACAGCCTCTAAGCTTTAGTGTGCTGTCTGGAGCTGTGCAGCAGTCCTTTGGGAAAGAGGAAGAAAATACTATAATCATATTATAATTTAATATTTTGATTCCTTTAACATATTTATTTTGGAGATATGCTTGCGTGATATATATGCTGAACAGTGTTCAGATGATAAGGATACAGAAATCAAGATTTGAATCCTCAAAGAACAGCTTTATTCTTTGTAACAGCTTTTCATTGCATTTTGCTGAGCATAGGTCACATAGTTAAGTTTAATCAGTTTCTTCAGGGGACATTTTACGTTGTTCTTTAACACATGAGTTTCACTGCAAATTAAAAACTTTTAGAAATTTTGCCCTTTCTAAAGTTTTTAGCTAGGTGTGGTGGCACATGCCTGTAATCGCAGCACTCGAGAGGCTGAGACAGGAAGATTGTTGCAAGTTCAAGGCAAGCCTGGGCCACAAAGTGAGTTAAAGGCCAGCCTGAACTGCATGGTGAGACCCTGTCTCAAAAAGACCAAAAATAATTAAATAAATAAATAAAATTATGAGGCTAGAACATACTTCAGAGTTTCCAAACTCTATGTTGAAAAATTGTGCACTTGATCAAAATTGTGCCATTTGACTAGGTAAAGTGAATACATAATTTTTTACTTAATTTTGTATCTAACAGGTGGTAACTGTTCTAAGTATACTGTTTATGGCTAAGAAAATAAAATACTTTAAAATTCTGTCTGTATAGAATCCTTCAGTTCCCCAGACCAGTTAAATTGGAAGATCTGAAGTCTAAAGCTAAAATTGCCTTTGGACAGTCTATGGATCTACATTACACCAATAACGAGGTAAACATGTACAGTTTAACCTATAGTAGCCTTTGTTTTAGAAAATAGTGTGTTCATGTAAGAGATTGTTTTCAGGACTGATGTGTTTTTATTTAGTGATTGGTGAGAATATGTCAGATGAATAAAATATGACAGATAAATTTATAAATTTTAACTGATTAAAATGGATTTTTTTCCATTATGGAAAATATTTATAGAAGATACTTTTTTTTTTTTTTTTTGGTTTTTCTCCGGTACCGGGAACTGAACTCACGACCTTGCGCTTGCCAGGCAGGCGCTTTTTGCCGCTGAGCTAAATCCCCAGCCCCTATAGAAGATACTTATACAAATAATTGCATAAGAATTTATGCTAAGAGGAAATATGTGTATTAGCTGGAATTTTCTTATGTTTTATTTTTACTCTATATACTTTTTGTTGTGGGTTTTGAGATAGGGTCTTGCTGTGTAGTTCAGGCTGGCCTTGAATTGTGTAGCCAACTCTGATCACATTTGAGGCAATCCTCTTCTTCTGAATGCTGGGATCGTAGGTGTGTGCCCCCTTGCCCAACCCCTACATATTTTATCAGTGAACTGTTTTTTCCTTTCATACTATGCTTGGCTACAGGCAGCAGAACTTTGGTAATCAGACAATTCATTTAAGACTTAATGGATTCTTGTAGTGTTGGAATATGATCAGATTGTCATGCTTTGTTTTAGAGTCACATACATGATCTCGAAGGCTTGCTCTGACACTGAGGAACTCTGTGTTCTTGGGAAACACCTTTTTAGTCTTTAGGATTGGATTAGGTGGTTTCCAAGTTTTCTTGTAGCTCTTGAGGAACAATTTAGTTAATTGATTAATTTTTTTAATCTTCAGAAAATATTTATTGTGTTTTTTAGGCTTAATACTGTGACTTAATGAGTTACAGCTACTCATAGGTAGGCAGTGTAGACATGTAGGTTGTTTCTTTTTTTTTTTTTTTTTTTTGGTTTTTCTCCGGTACCAGGAACCGAACTCACGACCTTGCGCTTGCCAGGCAGGCGCTTTTGCCGCTGAGCTAAATCCCCAGCCCCAGTGTAGACATGTAGTAAAAGCAGGCAACTAATAAATGCATTTTAAAAATACGTTATTTGAAGGAAATGCTTGAAGTATTGTGGTAATGAAAGCAAAGGCAGTAGGTACTAAGGAAGAAGAGCTGAGGGGGTGATATTTATATTGAATAGGAGAAGTCAGCCTTGCAGAGAGTTTCAGGGAATGAATGTTGCCAGGAGAGAGCTGCTTGAGAGCAGTGTATGCAGAGGTCCCTAGCAAAGGTGCCAGTAGGGATGAAGTGCAGCAGGATGCCGAGAACAACCTAATGCGAGGAGAACCATGAAAGTGCCTTGCAGATGGTAAAGCACTGTGCAAAAGAAGACATTTGAAAATACTACATTTTAATAGCTTAATTTACCAAATTAAATGGTAGTGATAAATAGTAATAAAATTAAATGGTAATGTAGCAAGCAGTGCTTGTCTAAAGAAACCCTTTACAGCCTAGAGATGATAAAGTAAAATCCATATCCTGAACAAAATGATGAGTACTATGCTGTAGTAATGCTTTGATTGGGTGGTGTGTTAGGCATTGAAATCAGGAGCCACATTCCCAGCCCTTTTTATTTTTTGAGACAAGGTTTCACTAAGTCTCTAAATTGCCCAGGCTAGGCTAGAACGTTTGACTCCCCTGCCTCAGGCTCCCAGAGTGCTGGGATTATAAGCATGGACCACCACACTGGCTGAAATTTTATTGTTCAAATACTTTTTAAAGGTTTCAATTAGTTGTAACATATCTTGTTGCCCAGCCTTATTTTGGTGCTTTATTTTTATGTTAGTCTGATTTCTACCTGCCAACCCCTGGGATTCTGAGGGGTTTTGTAGATGTATGCCTAAGGGTTGATGTATATTATAGGAGTGTGGAGGTAGAGAGTAGGGCAGGTGGACTCCACTTTCCAAAGTGGTAGCTTGCGTGTAGATAATATACTATACGTAAGTCTCCTTCCCTTCCTTCCCTTCCATATCCCTCTGCTAGTCTCCTAGTATCTTTTCCTACAGAAATAATTTGAATCCTTATCTCACAGTATGATTCTGAAAGAAGCAAGACATGATTTTTTTTTTTTTAATCTCAAAATTGTTTATCATGGAAAACTTTAACATGCCAAGATACATTAAGAATACAATATTGTTTCGATCTACTGGCCTGGTAGGTCTATCAAGAACAATGAGTTTAGTTTGACATTTGTACTACCTATACTAGCTCCTAGAATTGCTGTTTTTTTCCTTCAAAGTTCTCCCAAGTTGTTTCTGTAATTCTTTTCTGTATTTTCTTGAGGATTGACTTTAAGTTAACTGAGCTGCAGTTTTAGGAATACTTTTGCATTTGTAAAAATTGAAAATTTCTCTAGTTTTTTCATCGTTTCTGAAGGATTTCTGTGTGCAGCTCTGCTGTTACATGCGAGTGGCCACTTGGCAGGAATGTGGTAGAGGTAGCATTAGGGTAAGATTACTTTTTAAGACTTCTTGCAGCGCTGAAGTTCTGAGAATTTGTGACTCTGTTGAACAGTCCTGATTTGTATCCTGATGTATTGTTCCAAACCAAATGTAGGACTTTCAGTATTGGTATACTAGGGACATCTTACAAATGATCTTTTGTGGCCCTCTGGATAAGCAAAAACTTAAGTAGAGTATATATTATTTCATTTCCATAAGTATTATTTTCAAATATAAAATACGTTTCTTTGTTCAAAATGAACATGTGGTTTACCAGAATGAAAACAACTAACAGCTTTTAACACATCCTTGATGGGGCTGTAATTCGTGTCTTGCTCCTGGGTTGCTCTGATTTGAATTCAGCTGAATTTGACTGTCCTTGCCAGCTTGAACCACTGGTGGTACATAACTGTTCTGCCTGGTGCTTGTACCACTTCTCAGGAGGTCTTTGATTATACTAATGCAAAGAAAACCTTTGATGTAGCAGACCAGATGCCATCATATTACAGTTAAGGAAAACATTCAGTGGTATTAAAGAATTGCAATATGACTAATATGTGGTACAGCAATTGAAAATCCATACTATATATACCACCAATGGGGTACTTATAAAGATTTCCATGTTAAAATTTAGAGAATTAATTATTGATAAACTGTTAAACTGTGGAGAAATGCCAGGAGTGTGAATTACTTGAGAAGTATTCATTTTATAGAAGCTTATTTAGAATTGGCAAGAAGCACACGCAAGTGAGATGGAGATTGTTACTGAAAATGATCTGAAAAAATGAATGCCACTGTGGTTACAAAAAAGCCAAGTGTGATATGATGTTTTGCCCCCTCTGCACACATCAAAAAAATTCATGAATATAAATGTTTCTTTTAATTAATGAAATAAATTTGTTAATGATTGTAATAATGTTTTAATTGGTATGAAGAGTATTAATGTTTATATTTGGGCAGTAAGTATTCAAATTCAAGAAACTAGATTCAGTCCATTTATAGACTTTTAATTAATTTTATTCATCAAAAGACTGATAAAAATTACTAGATCCATTTGTACCACCGGTGGGATAGTGATGACTGTCCTGTGGGACAGCTATGCATGTACCACTGGTGGTTCAAGCTGGGGGATATGTATTAAGACGAAAATTGGTTGGGTTTTTTAAGTTTGCTTTTCTTTATTTAATAAGGTACAGGCTGTGTGTCAGAGTGCGTGTGGGTTGTGGGAGATGAGTATGGAGCTGTTCTTAGATTTTTCTAAGATCTTTCCTATTTTAGCTGAAGAGAACACATAAGTGGGCAGTTTTCATATATTGCTAATGTAAAGTCATAAAGATAATGAGCATTTTTCAAATTTAAGTTATGTTGAATGTGTTCTTGATTTCAGTTTTTAGTTTCCAGAAATATAAACCAGAAGGGGTTTATAGTAACATACAGTTTAAGTAAGTAAATAGATTTCATAGTTTCATGAATAAGACCAAAATGAATTTACCAAGCAGGAAAATGTTCCATGATTTATTATTTAGTATAATTAGAGAAGCTGGAATGTCTTCATGATTGTCTTCATTTTGCTGTTTATGCCAGGTGACCTGAGAACATAGGAGGGATCACATCAGGACTGTGAAAAGCAGAACACTGGAGATAGGAATACAGTGTGCCATTATGGCTCATAGTGAAGTGAAAGGAATTTAATTATGCATATCATTACATCAGGCTCATTCTGTGACACCAAACAGTTAATAATTCTTTCTATTGAAAATATTCTCACTGAGAAACAGCCCAGTTGCATAACTTAACATAAAATTAGCTACAAACAAATTGGCAATAAAATTTTATGTATAGAGCAAGTAAATATAAACATAATATATGGTGGAAGTTATATTCTAGTTTACATTTATAACTAGCAAAGGTATAAATGAGTGTTTTTTTTCTTTTTTAAAGAAATCTGCAGAGTGAATGCATACTGTGCCCACTTGTGTGTTTGGTGCAAATTGAGCTGTCATCTCTGTCATAGTATTAAACATTTACCAAGTATTGTACCTGCTCTCTGTTCTGCTGGAGTGTGGGTCCTTGTCTTCTGGATTTTATAGTATAGAGGACCCCAGACTGAGTAGGTCTCACATTTAAATGGCTCACATTCTATGATTATAAGAGGTGGTTAAGAAGTGTGGAATATGGGATATGTTCACTTGTTTGTACTCTGTCCCTCATTTAATGAAATGGAATATACTTTCTTGTCATTAATAGAGTTATCTTAAGCTCCAAAGCTGATTTTTGTTGTTGTTGTTACTGGGGATAGAACTCTGGGCCTTGCCCTGAGTGAAACTCTTTTTATTTTTTGAGAGAGGGTCTTGCCAAATCACTAAGTTGCCCATGCTGAGCTTGAACTTGCAGTCCTTCTGCCTCAGCCTCCCAGTGCTGGAATTACAGATGTATATTGCCATGCCCAGCTAAAGCTGACTTTTTTTTTTTTTTTTTTTTTAAAAGAAACAAATGTTGATTTTCTTAAATTATGTGAAAAATACTTTTTCTTATTGATCTCTCTCAGGTGCTTTTGTCCTCTGTATCTCATCCGTGATGGGACTAATGAAAGCAGAATCCCACATTCAGGTTTACCGTGGGATGGCTGACTCATTTAGCGTACCTCTTTTTTTGGTACCAGGAATTGAACTCAGAACCTTGTGCTTGCCAGACAGGCACTTGTGCTGCTTAGCTATAGTCCTGGCCCTTAGCTTACTTCTTGTAGTGCAAGATCAGCAGGGCCAGGGACGTGAACCCCGGAACTACAGATTGCACTTTTGTTGCTTGGTGGCACATCTCTCTGGTAGCTGTCATACATGCTCAAGATTTGGTATGTTGAAAAACATAACAGGTGAGAGTGCAGATCTGTGGTCACCACTGGGAAAAAGATTTTTGTCTATGTAGATGACAAGTTGTATCTTTATTTCATATCTTTCATATAAAGATACAAACAAGTTGTATCTTTATTTCTGAGTTCATTTGTATATGTTACTGCTGTTTTGAGATGAACATGCTGTAACTTAAATTTAGTTGTATGATGAAACTATTCTAACAGATTAATCTTTGAGTATATTTACTAAAGAAATGTAATGATTAATAGAGCAAACATTTTAAATAGCCATATTCATTCTAAAATTTCAACAGTGCTAGGTTGTGGAGAACAAAGTATAGATAAATATACTCATTCAGACTTTGATTATAGTAACAGTCAAAGAGAAAACCATTTTGAGATTTGTAACTCCCTAATAATGGAGATGCTTATGGGAGAACTTGACCTTGTAAGATGGCTCTCTGATCTCATGTGTCCCTTCTAGTTGGTGATTCCATTGACTACCCAGGATGACTTGGACAGAGCTGTGGAACTCTTGGATCGTAGTATTCATATGAAGAGCCTGAAGATATTACTTGTAATAAATGGAAGTACGCAGGTATGAATCAGCATTTTTCTGTTAAATATTGCAGGATGTATCCTTTAAAATGCACTGTAAGAAAGTTGTATTCTATAATTGTTGATGTATTTTCAATGTGAGATAAACACATTTAATTGCTATAGTTTATTTATTTTTTTTTTTTTTTGGTTTTTCTCCGGTACCAGGAACCGAACTCACGACCTTGCGCTTGCTAGGCAGGCGCTTTTGCCGCTGAGCTAAATCCCCAGCCCCTAATTGCTATAGTTTAATATCTTTGTTCCTTAAAATCACATAGTCAGAATTACAAATAAGAATACGATCATATAAAACTGACCATGTGGGAAGAATTATGTTAGGATTGAAATGTCTTTTGTTCGTTTGCTTTTTTTTTTTTAAGGCAGTCTCACTATTGCCTGTTGCCCAGTCTGGCCTTTAGCTCCTGGGCTCAAGTGATCTTCCTGTCTCAGCCTCCAAATTGCTGGATTATAAGAGCAGGCAACTATGCCTGGCAGGATTTAATTTTCTAAGACTAGAAGATTGATTAGCCCCATCAACAATACAGAATAGCTAGATTGAATTTGGTAGGGGGAGGACTCTGTTTAAAACCGTATAGGAGAATAATAGCATCAGTTGTCCTTCTTCTCTTGTAGGCTCCTAACTTAGAGCCATTGCCATCACTAGAAGATTTGGATAACACAGTATTTGGAGGAGAGAGGAAAAAACGGCATTCTATGATAGGTAAGAAAGCTAGTATTTGAAACATGAAGTGGGTGATTTCTCGGTTTCTTTTCTAGTTTTAAATGTAGGGGGCAAATCCTAAACATATCCTGATAAATAACACCCATTTTTATATTCTTTGCTACTTATCTACGACAAAATGACTTTCTAGACTCTGATGTCCTTTGTAAATTAATTTCACATACTACAGGTTTAGCAATCCCCTAGTTAAATTCTTTCTTTATATACTCAGGATATTTTAGTGCTTAACAAATTTAAATAAAACTTTATAGAGATTTTAATTGTATAAATAAGATGGAGGAAAAAATTAAGTAATGCTAGAACATTAAAATAAATAGGCTAGATTCTAAGTCCCTAAATCATTCTCTAAGGTTTTAGTTATTGCCAAGAATACTATCAAGATAAATGATTGTTAAAATTTCTAGATTATGCTTTTTCAATTACTTTCCTATTAATTTTTATTTGCCATTAATAATGCATTGCTGTAGTTGAGCCTGTGATATAAAGAAGTAAAGATGCTGTGTGCTGTGTTGTAAGGTAGCCTTACCTGGGAGACATGGGCTAAGTAGAAGTGCTCTTAATGCCTCACTTCTGTGTGTCATCTTCAATTTGTATAAAATGTTAATAATCTACATTTAATTTTAAAAAGGAAGCACTTCATTGCTTAAAAACCATGGAATACATATTTTTTAACCAATGGGGAGAGGATATGGTTATTAAAGATAACCATAAAGATAACCCTTGAGAGCATGCACAAGGGATGGCTTTGAAGGGGAAAATAGAAGAGGAGAGATAGAAGGACAGGGAAGAAGCAGGAGTGTGGCATAGAGGAAGAGGTTAGGTTGGGAGTCCAAAAGATTGGTAACAGAATAGGTTTGATAATAACAGAAGAAGTTACACCGGCATGGGCCACCAAAAAAATTACTTGTCTTCTCCTGGTCCCCCAAAAGACTTACTTGTGACCATTCTTTTTAAGTGTCTTGTTTCAAATTCTACTTTTTATTTTTGAAGTGCTGGAAATGGGATCAACAGAGATGATACATAAGTAAAATAAAAATGGCTAATTGAGATACAGTTTGATACAATTTTAAAAATTTGGTGACAAAATATTTGGGATACTTGTCTTCAAATTGTAATTCTCTGGTTAACAACCATACAACAGTAAATTTGTCCTGTCCTCATCTTTAAATCATGGTATTATATATTGAGAGAAAACTTAACATGTTTTACTCTTCAAACTGGAAAATATGACCACTATTATTTGTTCATTTCTTTCTTTATTGTATCTATCATTTTAAAGAAAAAAAAAAAGCCAATTCACTTTAGTTACATTAGAGAGATCAAAATGTACTATATTTTAAATTTCTTCTGAGTTATCTTATACTAAATATGCCTCAGTCTTATTCTACTAATAAATATTTTTATTGTTTGACCTCAATGTCAACATAACAAAAACTGGAAATTGTCTAGAATTAACAAGAGTGTGTTAGCATGCCCATTACTAACACAAGAAAGTTGTGTTTTCAAGTAAGGAAATGAAGAAATTTTCATGCCCCGTATTTCTTCCCTAGCTTCTTGTAGTACTTGAATATATTGATTTTTCTTTCATAAAAGAGGTATATGAAAGAAGTAAAATTATTTGAGTCCAGTATAATCATTGTGGTATGGTTGTTAGAAATTCTGAATCAACCCTGACTCACAGTGGAGTCCCTCCTTACTCATTTTGTAGACAGTGATCTTGGACATATATTTCTTAGTAATTATTTTGCTCTTCTTAACTCACTAACAAACGCTGGCATATACCGTACTTACAGTGACTCCCTCACCTAAAGTTAAGAGCTTTTTTTTTTCCTTTAAGTTTAACGCAGATGCTCATATTACTTCATATCTGTGCTGCTGGTTTGTTTGTTTGTTTGTTTGTTTTAGACACTGGGGATTTGAATGCTGGGCCTTCCCACTAAGCCACAGTCCCAGCATTTTATATATTTTTCATTTTGAAATAAGATCTTGCTAAGTTACTAAGTTGCCCACACTGGGCTCAAACTTGTAATCCTCCTGCCTCAGCCTACCAGAGTGCTGGAATGACAGGCATGCACTACCACACCCAGTAGCTGTATTTTCACTTAAGGTTTCTAAAGATTAAAGAAATGGAATAGAAAGGATATCCTGCAGCAGATGAGCCTAGCATATGTTCATTGTGAGTGATTTGACCATCACAACACCCTTGTAAAGAACGGACTTAGACCCTTGTTTACAGGTGAAAGTCAGGTTCATGGTGATAATAACTGCCAATCTGGGGTAACCCATCTGGTAAACAACTTTAACAGGGAATTTAACTAAGGTCTTACCCCCAAGCCCTCATTCTTCCACTGCATCCTGATCCCTTCCACAGATTGTGTCGAAAGCTTACATAAATGTTTTATTTCTGGAAGCTTAGAGCAGTGGCATTTATCTTAAGATTCTTTTTTTTTTTGTCTTTTTGAGACAGGGTCTCGCCATGCAGTTCAAGCTGGCTTTGAGCTCACTTTGTAGCCCAGGCTGGTCTCAAACTCGCAACGATCCTCCTGCCTCTGCCTCCAGAGTGCTGGGATTACAGGCGTGGGCTACCACGCCCAGCCCTAGTTTAAGATTCTGTAGTGTGTTATAAACTCATGATGTGGTGATCAGCAGTCAGAAGAACAATAGTGCTTAATGAGTATAAAGGAATGTTACAGTGAGGTGGAAGTTTGGAAAACCTAAGAAACATTTGAAGTTTTACAAATAAAAATGTCTGGTAATTTTTAATAAATACCTGATTTCATTTGCTAAAATTATTTTTGATATAGTTCAGAAATATACATTATTTAGACATAAAGTTATTTCCTTACTGATATTTACAAAATCTTGTATTTTTTCTCCTTTGAGGTCCCACTAATAGAGATAGAAGTTCCCCTCCCCCAGGATACATTCCAGATGAATTACACCAGGTGGCCCGGAATGGATCATTCACTAGCATCAACAGTGAAGGAGAGTTCATTCCAGAGAGCATGGATCAAGTATGCGCCAATTGGATGCTGGATTTCATGTCATTTAAAGTGATATTGGTCAAGGGCAGTGTGATTTGGCAGATACTTGGAGTTGTCTGTGTGTCTATATGTGTGCGTGTATCTGTCTTCCTTCTTAGATGAACAGAATAGCAAAATATAGAAAAAGGTCCATTAATTTACATCTGCCTTTTATTGTGTTTTAAAACAACTTGTTTCTTACATTGCTCATCCATAAATGAATGCATTTGTTTCGTAATTCACAGATTAACTAACACACAAATTTTTAAAAATTAACGCTTAAAAGAGTAAAATTTGAGCTATTTAACTTTATGAAGCTGAGGTTTGTGAACTTTTCATAACATTTTTAAAAATACCTCAGTTTTCTAGCCTTGAAATGTTTTCCTGGAGTTGCTATGATTCCCTTAGCATTGCATTGAACGCTTACTCTGTGGTAGTACTTAACATTTGCTGACAGTGGAGGAGTCACACACTGTGTAACGTGTTAGTCTCCATTTGGGTGTAGTCATTGTTCAGTTTTCAGTAGGAGAATCATGAGAAATGTTCTGACTTTTAATTATTTAAATAGCAGGCTATAGAGAAAGTGCCTTTCCTCTTAGGAAGTATCGGTGTTGTGGTTTGCCTGTGTGGGACATTTAAAGATGAATAGCTCTAAGTTGTGTACACGGTTTCTTTCAGAGATACTGAAAGTGCTCAAAAACTGTGGTGAGGGCTACTCTGCTCTCATTGTACTGAGGGCCATTAAATTGTACACTTTAAATGGTTGAGTTTTATATTTCATGAATTACATCTTAATACAAGTTTTTTTTTAGATAAAAAGAAAATATAACATTTGGCTATATCACATTGAATCTTGTTGGAACTCTTTATTTTCTTAGATGCTGGATCCATTATCTTTAAGTAGCCCTGAAAATTCTGGCTCAGGAAGTTGTCCATCACTTGACAGTCCTTTGGATGGGTAAGTTGATTATAGTTTTGTATTTTATTTATTTGGCTTTTTGAGACAGGTTCTCTCTCTCTCTCTCTCTCTCTCTCTCTCTCTCTCTCTCTATATATATATATATATATATATATATATATATATACACACACACACACACACACACACACACACATATACAGTACAGACTGGCCTTGAAATCACTGTAACCCAGGCTGCCCTCAAACTCCAGGAGATCCTCCTGCCTCAGCCTTCTGAGTGCTGGGATTACATGAGTGCACCAACACACCTTTGGCTGTTTTGTATTTTATTTAGTATGTGTGGTTAAATATGTACCCACAAAATGTGGAATTATCAGTAGTTTTTTGTGGTACATTGAGAAGAATGTTAATTGATACTTGACCATGTTGACAAATGATACATGATTATAATATTTGGAGTATTTCTGTTTGCCAGAGTTGTATGTTTGAAGGCAAATGCACAGTTAGAATTTGTGCACATTAACTTTTAAATCTGTGTTTATGAAACTGTTACCAAATTTTTCATTAATATGTTTGGTTTTTAGATGCTTCTTGAATTGTTTCACCTGTTCAATATTATATTCATCCCAAGAAATGATTTATGTTAACTGCCTTTCTTTTGTGAAATAACAAACTGAGGATTATGAGCAGGATTCTAAGCATCTGTGAATTTTTTGTTACAAGTGCGCCCTCCCCTGGTCTCAGTAGGACATTGGTTTTGGTAATCCAGTGTGAAAATCTTTACCTGTTCAGTCTTCTTTATGATTGCTTTATGAAAACAGGTTTTTGGGTGGCTTTTTGCTGGTTTTTTTTTTTTTGTGTGTGTGTGTGTGTGTGGTGCTCAAGATCAAACTCAGGGCCTCATACATATGAAGCGTGTGCTGAATGACATCCCTAGCCGTATAAAAGCAAATTCTTAAAAGATAATTTATACTATTTGACCATTTATATTTACTTTCTTCTTATCAATGTGTATATAACCCCTGTCTATATCAGTGTCTATCACAGGGTAGATACTTAACAAATTCAGAGAAATTACAAATATGCATGGAATACTTAGCTATTTGGGATGCACCACTGAACACCTGGTTTCTTAAAACTTGCTAAGTTGGACATCATTATGTCTTTCATATAGCTGCAAAAACAGTCTTAGAAGGATTACTTACCAAGATTACACAGAACTCAGACCGAAACAACAGTGTTTCTAAGCACCTGTGATTCTAAAACTTATTCTTACTACTTTACTCTGTAGGCAGATTTTAAAAACCAGGCTCTTTGGCTATATGTACCAAACAAGTGTTTAAAAAAAGTTTCTCTTTCTTTTAGTTATGTTAATATTTCAGAGTGAACTCCTTTATACATAGACATGCACACATACAGATAGATACAGATAGTATGGCTTTAAAATCTTTTACATGTTTTATTTACATATGTTCTCTTAATGTGGCATTTTCTGTTTATAGAGAGAGCTATCCAAAATCACGAATGCCTAGGGCACAGAGCTACCCAGATAATCGTCAAGAGTTTTCAGGTTAGATGATATAAATTCTAAATATTTAAATTAAGTTTATATCATAGTAACATTTTGGCTGGGAGGGAGGGGGAGATTTTTTTAAAACTCAAAATACTTTTAAATGTGCTTTACATTACTAAAACTTTGACTTTTTGGAACATAACTTTCATATATGTCTTAACAGACTATGATAACCCTATCTTTGAGAAATTTGGAAAAGGAGGAACATACCCAAGAAGGTATCATGTTTCATATCATCATCAGGAGTATAATGATGGTAAGTTCCTGGTAATTAGATCATAGTAACAGTTTATTACAAATCTCAGAAAAGTTTTAAAAATCTGATATTTTTATAATATTGTTGGGAAATAAATTTGTTCTTGAATCTTTAGTTTTCTCGCTAAACAGTTTTTTTTGAGGAGATTCAGTCCTTGCTAAAAACTATAATAGCTTTTTTTTTTTTTGAGATGGGGTTCTGCTGTGTAATTCAGTTTGGCCTTGAACTCACTGTGTAGCCCAGGCTGGTCTCAAACTCACAGTGATCCTCCTGCCTCAGCCTCCAAAGTGCTGAGATTACAGGCGTGCAGCACCATGCCTGGCTCTCATGACATTGTCTTTCCTTTAAATGTAGTAATTTTTAAATGATACTAATGAGAAAATTACTCCTTGATGATGAAATTGATACTTGAATTGTCCTGTTAGGGAAAAAATTTGCTACATATACCTTCCTGGTTATTGTATTGTATGTGTGTACATATGTGTATGTATGTATGTGTGTATATTTTTTGAGGTGGGACTCACTATGTCATGCAGGCTGGTCTTGAACTCACTGTGTAGCGCATGCTGGCCTCGAACTCATGGTGATCCTCCTGCCTTAGCCTCCCAAGTGCTGGGATTACAGGCATGCACAACCATGCTTAGCTCTTGTTTTATGTTTTAAAGTCATTATTAGAAATGAAAGTAAAATTGTTTTCATCTCTTTATTGAAAAGCGAGGGGCAGGTATTTATTCCATGGTTTTTATGTGTGTGCACATCTGAACATTTTCCCATAACAGGATCCGAATTTGTATTCAGATCCTAGTATTTTTCCCCAGAATCATTACCATCACTGCCATTTCAATTCCTTAGCCTAGTCACAAGACAAATTTATGTTGCCTGCATTGCAAATTTTAAATACTTTAAAAATACAGTATATTAATAAAAGTAAAATAGTTCTGTTTTCATTTTTGTAGGTCGTAAAACTTTTCCAAGAGCTAGAAGGACCCAGGGGACCAGCTTTCGGTCTCCTGTGAGTTTTAGCCCCACCGATCACTCATTAAGCACTAGTAGTGGGAGCAGCATCTTCACCCCGGAATATGATGAGAGTCGAATAAGAAGGAGGGGAAGCGACATAGACAATCCTACTCTGACTGTGATGGACATCAGCCCGCCCAGCCGATGTAAGTGATAGGGATTGTTACAGTAAAGTGTTTAACAGAACTTTTGCAGAGTTTTATAGTATTAACAGGAATAACTACCGAATGAGTCTTCAAGGTGAGGCAAACTCCTCAAAAGAGAGGAGCTGGGGTTGAAGCTCAGTGGTATAGAGTGCCTGTTTTGCTGTTCCAGGTGCTAGATTCAGTTACCGACACTACAAAGCAAAAGGAAGAAAAAGAAAAAGAAGTGGTAACAGTGGTGTTTCTAACAATGGCCAGAATGATAAGTATAAGAATAGTAGTGCTAGCCAGGCATGGTGGTGCACACCTGTAATTCCAGCACTCGGGAGGCTGAGGTAGGAGGATCACCATAAGTTTGAGGCCAGCCTGGGCTACATAGTAAGCTCAAGGGAAGCCTGAATTATGTAGGAGACTGTCTCAAAAAAACAACAACAAAAAAGGTATTTCTGCTAGTTACTTCAGTTACATCTGCATTTTGCTTTTTTTTTTTTTTTTTTTTTTTTTTTGTTTTTCTCCGGTACCGGGAACTGAACTCATGACCTTGCGCTTGCCAGGCAGGCGCTTTTTTGCCACTGAGCTAAATCCCCAGCCCCCTGCATTTTGCTTTTATTGAAAATTAATAGCCAGTCATATTTTCAATTCCATTCCACATGTCCTTGTTGAGTATCTAGCACTGAGATCTCAGACATGACCTCTGATTTACTCGTCTAGCAGGGAGAGTGATATGTGGAGAAATAGTATAACATTTAACCCAGAGCTTAATTTGGAGTAGAAATTCATGAATTAAGGAGATAACATACAAAGAGCCATGGATATTCTGAAATGGGAAGTAGTTTGTTTTTGCTGACATAGGGGATATTTTACTTTAAATAATGGGAAGAGGATGACAGCAAATTATTTAGACTTTGTCATGTAAAGAATGCATACAAGGTTTGTACTCAAAGGTGTTTATTACATCAAACTTTGTATTCTCTGAAGTCTTCCTTTTTGTGTTAGTGTTGTCATATTTTACTTTTACCTTATACGGTATTATTTTTGTTTTAGACAACTAAAGCAAAAGTGATTAAAAATAAGAGGAAAATTTTTATATGTCTTATATAGACCTTTGGTATCTATTTGTGTAGATTTTTGATTATATAGATCCAAGGTGCAGTTTAGTGTCAGATTCCTTTTGCCTGAAAAATTGCATTTAACCTTTCTTGTAATACAAGTCTGCTGGTAGTGAATTCCTTTAGCTTTTGTTTGTTTGGATGTTTGAGCAGGTCTTTATTTCTTCTTTATTTCTGAGAGGTTTATTTTTTTCTGGATATAGAATTCTGGGCACAGTTTGTTTTGCTTTGGGATGCTGAGATTGAACCTAGGACCTTCTCGCTGAGCTACATCCTTGTCCCTTTTAATTTTTGAGGCACGGTCTTGCTAAGTCACTGAGTTGCCCAGGGTAGTCTGAAACTTGAAATCCTGCTGTCTCAGCCTCCCAGAGTGCTAAAGTATAGGCAGTGCACCATCATGCCCAGCTGTATTTTTGTTATTTTTTACTTGCAGCAGTTTAAAGCTATCTCAACATTGTCTTCTGGCTTATATACTTTCTGAGGAGAAATATATAACTCTTGTCTTTGCTCTCCTATAATAGTATCTTTTTCTCCCTTTGGCCACTTTTAAGATTTTCTCTTTGATATTCATAATCATATTCAGTTTGATTTGTTATAATTTGTTTATAAAGATTGCTCAGTTATATCTCTTCAAATATTTCCACTCCAGTTTTTGTTTTTGAATTCTAATTACTTGCACAATGGGATATGTGATTCTCTTACACCTTTTTTCATTCTGTTTCCTCAGTGAGCTTGAGAAATTTTTTCTATTAATTGATTTCCTCAGCCTTACTGCGCCTATTTATGAGCCTATTGAAAAAAAATGTTTTTTATTTTTTATTTCAAGCTTTCCCATTTGACTCTATCCAGCAGTTTTTGTCTGTCGAAGTTCTTCATGTGTTTGTTCATGTTGTCTATCTACCTTTTGCACTAGAACTTTAACATGTTAATCATGGTTATTTTAAGCTTCGTGATTCTCTTGATTTTGGTTATGTTAATTTCTCTCTCTCATTTTCTTACTTGCTTTTTTGCATCTTATAATTTTACATTGAAAGCCAGGCATTATATGTAGAATAATGGAGACTGAGCTAAACAGAGTTTATACCTGGAGGTAGACACAGCTCTTCTGCCCAGGCCATTATTGTAAGGGATAGTGTCATTCTCTCAGCAGCTGTGTTTGGATTTTGTTATTGCTGTGATCCCTTTTTGCCACTAACTTTATATTTCTTCAGAGTTTCCTTGTGCTATTCTACCCAAAGTTGTTTTTTTTTTGTTTTGTTTTTTGGTTTTTCTTTTCCATTCCCTAAACAGGGTTTGCTGCTCTTCCTCTAGTATTTTAGGGATCTTAATTTCTTAGGGGATATAGGTTTAGGAGGGGCTTTCTACCTTTTCCACAGTAGTGGGAGATGCCTTTTTCCAAGCCTTGACCTCCAAGCAAGTTTTTCTCTCATCTGTTCTGTGAGTACCTGGCAGATAGGTCCATGGAAAAGACTGAGTAGGGTTGAACTCACCATGTGCTGTGATATCCCAAGGGTTTAGTACTCTCATGCCAACCCTTACTTGTTAAAATTGGAGCTGACTTCTTCTGTGTAGTGCAGGAAAGCCTTGAACTTACCATCCCCTTGGCTCAACTCCACCTCCTGGAGCTCTTTTCTTACCTGTCAGTATGGATCTTTGTGTTCCTCCACAAATTTGCCAGTGCTTGTATTATCTCTCTCTCCTTGGAAGAACCTCTTTTCCTTAGATTTCAAGCAAGTCGGTCTCTTGCAGTCTGTTTTCCAACAGGTTCACTAAAGGTTATAATTTTATAGATTACCTAGAATTTTCTTATTGTTAGGATGGAAGTGAAGATTAGAAATAAGGCATCTTACAATCATTACATCTTAGGTTGAGTGAAAGATATTGTAATGGGGGATCTCATTGGAAAGAGTAAGTCATGTGGATATGAACTTATTTGAGTTTACAAACTTAGAAGATTGACTAAACAGAAAAATTTTGAAAAATAGTGACCATTTTGAATTTGAAGTCATAATTTTATACCCAAGCATGTTCATTTAAGGATATCGCTAGCAGCATATTTATTTATTTAGTCCTTAACCATTCATGTGTCATTTAACTACTCCATTTTAAGCAAGTGTTCTTTTTCAGCACCTCGCGCTCCAACCAACTGGAGATTGGGCAAACTGCTCGGCCAAGGAGCCTTTGGCAGGGTCTACCTCTGTTACGATGTTGATACAGGAAGAGAACTGGCTGTTAAGCAAGTCCAGTTTGATCCCGATAGTCCTGAGACCAGCAAGGTAAAAATAACTGCACAGTCTATTTTGTCACATTTTAAGAACTATGTGTGCTAAAAACAAAAAACCAAAAAACAGTAATAAAACAGAGTAACACAAGTGATTTGCGAGACAGCTTGATAATTAGATGTACTTATCTGCTGTGTATTGTGGATATTTCTTTTTTAGTACCAAAGTTGTATTCTTAGTCTGATTTAGTATTGCTTCAGCACAATTTAAAAAGTTATTGGTTAAAGCTGGATGTGATGGCACATGCCTGCAATCACAGCACTCTGGGAATTTGAGGCAGGAGAATTACAAGTTTGAGCCCAGCCTGGGCAATTTAGTTAGCACCCTGTCTGTAAATAAAAAATTTTAAAAGGGACTGGGATGTAATATAACTTAGTATGAATGGCCTGGGTCTAATCCCCAGTTATGAGAAAAAGAAAAAGTTACTGGTTAGAGACTTTAAAATAGTTTGTTCTTTAGGAAGTAAACTTTTCAGAATGAAATCACCTTGATATAGTTCCTGAAATGACTATTTTTTGCTTCTGCAGAAAGTGTTACAAAGACTTCACAGTGAATTTTGTCTTCCAGGAGGTGAATGCACTTGAGTGTGAAATTCAGTTGTTGAAAAACTTGCTGCATGAACGAATTGTTCAGTATTATGGCTGTTTGAGGGATCCCCAGGAAAAAACACTTTCTATATTTATGGAATATATGCCAGGGGTAAGTTCACACCCTTTTTTAAAAAGTTGCTGTATTTAAAAGTCCTTATTGAAAAAAAGAAACAGAAGTTTAGATTATATAATGATAACCCTAGTTAAAGATGTTTTGGAAGAGTTTTAAATTAGAGCTAGGTAATAATCCTCTTCATTTGTCTTTGTATTTTTAAACTCATTAATGCTGAAATAGCGTAAAGGAGGTTACAGACATCATAGTGTCTTGTCAGATTTCTCCAAGTGCCTTAAAAATTTGTTTTATTTATCCAAAGCAGGTTTCAGTCCAGACCATACATTATATTTAGTTATTATGTCCCCAAATTCCATTTTTATGTATAATAATACATTTTTACAGTATGTGACTTTAACAAGACCTCATTTCCCATAAACTCCAAGTTAGTTGTAAACTTTAAGGTAGATTCTAATTCAGCCTTTTTTACTGGATACATCAGATGACCGTGTACTTTACCGGGTATCCCAACAGAAAACACAATTTCTAGTTATTCCATGGTAGTGATGCTAATACTGATTCCTAATTAGGGTGATTGACATCTCATTCCTTCATTGGAGAGTTTTATGTTTTCCTGTAGACAAGAAAGTAATCTGAAGTATAGCAAAGGCACCTATGAGTAGTCAGTTCTTTTCCAGCCTTCCACTTAGTATTATTTCTTTTGTTTTGTTTTGTTTTTTTTGGTGCTAGCTGTTTAAACCCTTCTTTAAGGGTTTTAACCAAAGCAGCTGTTGTACCCTTGAGTTAAACCTTCCGTGTAGCATTTGGTACTGTATCTAGTGTTTTTTAACACCCAGTATTTTTAACACTGACTGGTAGTCATCACTAAAGTTAATAATTTCATTAGGAGTTGCAAAATGAAGTTTAGGACCTTTTATCATTCCATCTATCCACTAAATTTTAAATACTAATGATTTTCAAGATGGTGGTTGGTATATTTACTTACTTAAAAATATATACAAGCCAAGTACAACGGCACATACCTGTAATCTCACTTTGTGCTCAGGAGTTTGAGCTCAGCCTGGATAATACAGTAAGACCCCCCACATCTGAAAAAAGGAAAAACAAAATGCACAGTCTCAAAATTTAATAGGTAGTATATGTTACAAAAAGGAGTTTTATTTACAGGTCTTTAAGCAGGTAGTTGATTAGAATTGTATGTAGAACGTAAAAGATTGCACTTTGAGCTTATGAATCAGTGTTATGGTTTGTGTCTGGGTGTCCCCCCAAAGCCTCATGTGGTCATGGGGCAGGCTTTTAGAGTTTGATTGATTATGGGTGTGAGAGCTGCACCCGCCCTGGGGTGGATAGTTTGCATATGTAAGGGAGAGGAAGAGGCTGCTTGGGGCGATTCCTGGCTTTTGTGCTTGTTGCTTTTGCTGTGTTCTGCTGCCATGAGCTGTAGCCCTCTGCCATGTGCCAGTCTGCCTTGTAATCTGCCAAGTATGGACTGAAATCTCCACAAACTGTAAGCGAAATAAACCTTTCCTTCCTTAATTGTGGGCATCAGATATTTTGTCCCAGCAACGAGAGAAAAGTAACCAAGACAGTCAGTAAAACTTCTCTCTCACTAGAGCAGCAGTAAACTTTTTCTTATCATCATGACTAATAAATTGTTCATGTTGACACTATCATCACCCAGTGATTATTTTACTATTCCTTTTATATTTTCAAAGAGTGTATTCTTGTGTATGTTTGTTTTTAAAAATTCTACTTGGAAAACAAATTGGGGTAATGTAATCCCTATTAAAAGCAATAGGAATATTGAAGCCATATGACTTGGTAGTTGCACAGAAATTTATTCTACAGAAGTAACCTGAAAGAAGGGGGGGATACTCTATACATTTATTTTAGTATTATCTGTGACAGGAAACAAAAGGGAATATTAGTACCTACAATGGAAGTGAATTATGATGGCATTCTCTGAGAATAGATGCTAAAAATTAAAATTATGAAGTTGTGTAGCGAATTAGAGGAAATACCTATAATGAGAGGAAAACAATGCAAAACATTTTTTAATAATGATTATGGCAGTGTATCTGTATTTGAACAAGGACAAAAGAAACTTAGGTGAAAAAGTGTTGTGTTGGGATTAGGGTAGATTTTTAAAAATTCATATTTCTGGATGGCAACCCACTTAGGACCCCTCCTGTCTCTCTGGAGCTGTTTCTATTTCCTTAATAAGCCTTTCCTACTTTTAAAAAATAAAATAAAATTCAGGCTTCTATTACTGTTTTGTGATAAATATTTAAATTATAATAGAAAATAACTATGAATGAGTGTGACTAGAAACCCACATTGTTGACGGTAAAATAAAATTTAAGTGGTTAAAACCGATAAACATCACAAATAGAGGTGTATAACCCTTATACACTGAGCATATAATCTTTAGATGAAACCAGAACTATTCAGCAAGTGCTGTTTGGTCATGTTTCTCATTCACTACATTTGGTTTTGTAAAGGCGGTGCTGCCTTTCACAGCATACACTGTTCCTTGAACTTGAAAAACATGTTAGTGAATTAATAATAGTCTACTGATAATCTAAATGAAGTATACAACCTATGGCAAGCCCATCGATGTTGCTGGACATACAGTTTTTACACTTTGCTAAATCTCCAAGTTCGTGAATGGGACTCTATAATTTCTCTCACTACACATGATAGGATCCTTTGTGACCTGGAATCAAGCTTTGTTAACATTTCCATCCTGTTTCTCAGTTTTTCCAGATTTAACAGTACATCCTTTAGTTTGAACTACTTTCAGATTTCAGATCATAACTTTTTACTGTTTTAGTACCTGAAATAGCAGTTGGCCTTTCTCTCTGTCTCTGTCTCTCCTTGCTACACAGTTCTTAAACCATTCCAGTTGTACACACTGCAGAAGTTTTTTTGTTGTTGCTTGTTTGTTTTCTCAGTACTGAGGATTGAATCCAATTCCTTCACACTGAGTTGTATCCCCAGCCCTTTAAAGAAAAACTTTCTTTTTTTTTTATATTTTGAGACAGGGTCTTGCTAAGTTACCAAGTAGCCCATCCTGGGCTCACACTTGCAGTCCTCTCAGCTTTCCAGAGTGCTAAGATTACAAGCATGTGCCACCATGGCCAGCAGAAGTTAACATTTTTATAGATATAGGATAAGTAGGCAATACTGATGGGAGTTGTTAGCAGCCATAGTCCACTGACCCAGCTGGCCAGAGGACCCATCAGCCTACAGTTATTATTGTGCCTACTATTTGGATAGTTCAGTTTTAACAGTCATTCTGTGTAGTAGTACAAGTGGAGACACAGTAAGAAGACTGTGAATAAACAGGCCACAGTGTATAATAAGGGTGGTTGACATTTCTTATGTATGTTTGCAGGTTTGGGTGTGCAGAATTGCATACTGGTGTCCCAGCAAGGATCCCTCATGAATAGTGGAAACAGTAAATGGTTAAATCTGTAAAATCCAGGGACCTACACCTTACAGCAGAGTACAAAATTGAAGGAAAGGCAGAAACATTATATTTTCTTGTTTAAAAAAGATTTGTCACTTGGGAAGCATTTTATTTCTGTTAAAGTGAATAATTAAACTTGCATATTAGAATCACTGGGGAAGAAGCTCTCTAAGTTCAGTGGCTGTCTTGAGCCGGATGTACACCTGTGACCCCCCCCAGTGCTGTGGAGACTGAAGCATGTAGGAGGATTGCTAAGAGTTCAGGCTTTTTTCAAGGCCAGCCTGCACTGTGGAAACCAAAACAACAAATTCCTGTGTCATGTCTCAGACTGACTCAGCTTTCTCAGAAAAAGGCACTTCTCTTGGCCTAAAATAAACTTAAGAAAATAAGAAATTCCTCATTATTGTATTTTCTCATATGTTTTTAACTAGAGTGTTGGCTATGTAAAGCAAAAACAGAAAATGCTTATGCATTCTGATTTTCTCTTCTCCTGAGGAAGAAATCAGTAGATGTCAGTACAACACAAATTTGCTTTAAAATATAGAGTAAGAACAAAATAAATTCAGGTATGGCGTACTTAGAGGGATTAATAGGAAAAACAAAGACATGTTCAGGGAAAAATAAAGCAAGATAGATAAAAGGGAAAAATAAAGCAAGATAGAGAATTTTGTAAAACAGAGTTGCAAGGAATAGGAGAACACCCAACATAGTCATAGAAACAAGGGCATCAGTCAAAACAGAGTTTTAATTGCTTCTTTCAGCTATGACATACTTTTCCCCAGTTCTAGAGAGTGCAGATGACTTATATTTTAAACTGCGTGGGCATATTGTATCATCACTGACAATATCTGCTCTTTCCAAATACAGCCTCCTAGTGATGAACTAGGACTCTCTTAAAAATAAAGCTTTAATACCAGTTTTCATTTCAAACCATATCATAATTTTTGTGGTTCTCATTTATCCTAGGGCTCAATTAAGGACCAATTAAAAGCATATGGAGCTCTTACTGAGAATGTGACTAGGAAATATACACGTCAGATTCTGGAGGGTGTCCATTATTTGCACAGTAATATGATTGTCCATAGAGATATCAAAGGTAAGTAATGAGATACTTTTTACTTTACACAGTTCTTTATGAATGAAACAAGTGATGTGATTAAGATATTTAATATTTAAATGCATACATCTATTCTAAAAAAGTTCTCCTGCTTTCTCATGGACTCATCAAATCAGTTTTGATGAGTCCAGCTCAGGTTTCCACAAATGGATTGCTCCACTTCAGGGGTTCACAGATCAGTTAAGTTCAAAAGACCATATAAATGAGACCATGTTTTCATACATATTGCATAGGCATTAGAAGGGAGTGGTTAAGAGTTAGGGCTTTGCTACTAGGCAGCTTGATTCAAATTCAGGCTTTCTCTGTTCGAACTCTGTGACCTTGGTCAAGTCATGTAGTCTCTGTGCTTCATTCCGCATTCTTACACGAGGATCCTTACAAGGATTTACTTCGTGTACTTTACCTAAAACAGTGCCCGATACCTAGAAAACACTGAAAAGTTAGCTGCAGTGATGACATACTGGATGTAGAGATCATATTTAAAATCATGTGAAGATCATGTGAATCATTACTTAGGAGAAGAAAAGAAGGAGACTGAGTTGTGGTGAACTCAGTTAAATGCTGTTTTTTAAACTGAAAAACAGCTTTTTTCAGGGATCAGGTATGTGAATGAATGCATATAAGCTACAAAAGCAAGTGATGAGGGTGTAAAATTTGAGAGTACTTAAAACTTCACTGTGCAGCATTTTTGAAGGTCTAATTGTGTGAAAACTTGTTGTGACCCCAAATTTAGAAATCACTTTATCGGTCGATAAAAATAAATTAACAAATGTAAAAGTGTATATGAATACATAAGTCATTGATCTTGATGGGAACTCTTGAGCTCCTAGGCTTTTGCTTCTTCGCCATGGTGTGGCACATCCTGATGTGGCCATATTCAAGCCAGGAGAACATTTCTAACCAGTTCTTAGTGATAGAATAAAATCTGTAGAGTGCTTGAGCCAGAGCTACTAGAATGGGGCTTAATAGTGAATATGAAAGGCAAGGGATGTAGCACAGTGGTACAGTGTTTGAATAGCATGTATAGACCCTAGCTTTAGTTTCATTCCCACCACAAAAGTTATGAAGGCTGAGGATATGGCCTGTGATCTCTCTCAGGCAGAACTCAGTTGTTAAGTACAAAACTTGATAAATGGCTTTAAGAATCTCAGAGAAAAATTTTTCACTTAGGAATAATTGCTCTTCAAGCCAGTTTCTCATTGACACTCAGAAAAAGGCAAGGGAGAGGAACTAAGGGAACAGCTGTCTTAGTTACCTTCTTGTTGCTGGAATGAAATACCCGATATCCACAAATAAAGCAGAAAAGGTTTATTTCAGCTCTCAGTTTGTAGAAATTTCAGTCCATAGTTGTTTGGCTCCAAGGCAGGGTGGAATGACAGAGGAGAGAGGGCAGGCAGGAGGCAGCAAAGCAGCAAGCAGCAGCCTCCCTTCTTTCTGTCCCTTTGTATTCCATCCAGGCCACAAGCCTATTGTTGGTACCAGGACTGTAGATTCCCTCTTTATAAATCCATTCCGCTACACCTAGAATTATGCTAATCCAATTAGGGGACTAATGCAGATTATCACACACCCTTAATCCCAGTATCACATAACCTTGTATCCCAGCCACCTCCCCAGAGCCCCACCTAGGAGCACATAAGGCTTTGGGGTGGGGGGCATGACATCCAGACACAAGCCAGAACAGCAACTTTCTGCATGAACCCTCTTCTATCTTGCCAGAAGGAGTGTTGAGCCACCTTGGCCAATTGAGGAGCATGGAAGCAAGCTGATTTTTAAGTATTATAGAGAAAATATATTGATGAGGGAGAAAAGATATAAAAGGAGATATGCAATGTGATCTGATGCTTGCAAAATATAAATATGACACAGAAGGAAAATTTTCTTATGATTAGCAATGGTTGTAACCAAATGGCAAGATAGTGACAGTTGTTTTCTACTATATATTTTTACTTTTTCAGTATTTCCTAGTACTTATAAACAACTTTTAAATGGTAAGGGAAAAGATCAATAGCTGCTGACATGACTGGCATAGAGATAGTCTGCAATGCAGCATTTTCTAATTTTGTTCCCCCAAGCTCTTATCAAACCTTCAGATTCAGCTGTCAAATTATAACATGTTTATATAAGGCATTGAGCATATTAAAATGACCCCTTAAGATACAGCCAGCAAGGTAAAGGGGGAAAAAAAAGAGATTGGAACTTTTAAGTTAGGAAAGATTTGCATATCAGTGAGGCTCATTGTAGGACTAACATGAGTTTTTTTTTCTTTTTTATTTGTGTGTAAAAAATTGAATACCAATTATGTTTTGATAATATTAAAAAATTGAAAAAATTATTACTCATCTTTTTAGGTGTGATAACAGTCCTTGTCTTTTAAAGATACGTACTGAAATTTTAATTGATTATGATGTCATGGTTTTCTTCCAACACTGTGAGATGGAAGGGAGAGTGCGTGGCAGTATATAGTTGGACAGGGTTGTCTAGTTAGATGTTGAAGCTGGGTACATGTATGATTCCTTCTACTTCTGTTTATGTTTGTAAAGTCCTCTTAGTAACTTTTAACTTGGACAAAATGAGTTACACACACACACACACACACACACACCCACACCCACCCACCCACCACCCCCGGGCTACCCACTTTCCTTGGACAAAACAAGTTAAAAATATACACACACACACGAAAACACACACACACACACACACACATGCGAAAAACAGGCTACCCACTTTCCAGCCACTCCTGTGGATGAGCATTGATGATTTCTTCCCACAGATAGCTGTCCCTATTTGTGATCTTCCCAGGATACTTCCTTCCTTGCTTGTAGTCAGTAAAACTCAGCTTGTTAAGCTAGCTACACCTGTGGTCCTAGCTACTCAGGAGACTGGGGCAGGAGGATCACTTGAGCCAAGGAGATTGAGCCAGCATGGACAGCACAGTAAGACGTTGTCTCAAAAATGGAAACTGGCTTGTCATCATTCCACTGATGTAATAAAGATAGTGGCTTTTTGGACAGAGTCCTTCTTTTAAGTATTGAATGATAGGAAATGTTAAAAAAAAAGTGCTATTTTAGAGGGTTGCTGGTAATGTAGCACATTTAGACCTAAGGTGTACACAAAATGGATACTACACTGTGCCTGGAGAGAGACTTTGGATAACCATCATTAGCTTGATTGAGGGATTTTGGAAGACTAGAAGTTTGTAGGGGAGTTGGAGAGTCTGTATTTTCTCTAGTCTATAATATAGATTTCCCCTACTATTCATCCTCCTTCATAGAGAGCATTTAAAATTTTTAAAAATAGGATAAGAAGACTAAAAAATTTGAAGTAGGTTTAAGGTTGTACAAAACCAAAAAATAGGTATTAAAATAAATTGTGAAAATTTATAGCTGGACGTGGTGGTGCACACCTGGCAATCCCAGCACTGGGGAGGCTGAGGCAGGAGAATTGACACAAATTAGAGGCTAGCCTGAGATACGTAGTGAGTTTAAGGGCATAGAAAGCGCCCTACCTCAAAAGTAAAACAATAGACAAAAAATTAGATAATAAAAATAAACATGTTTTTTAAAAAACAGGTAAGTTTATAGAAAAAGCTAAAGATGAGAAGAGAAATAATTTGTTAAAGGCAGAAACTAGACATACAATCCTAGAAAAAAAACATTGAGTCAAGCTGGATGTTGTGACACATACCTATAATCCTAGCACTTTTGAAGCCCCAAATAGGATTGTATGTTTGAGCCTGGGCAATTTAGCGAGACCCTGTTTTAAAATATAAAAAAGGGATGGGGACGTAGCTTAGTACAGAGGCCTTCACTTCAATCCACAGTACTGCCGACAAACAAATAATAATTTAAAATATAACAGGGAAAGGAGAGAATAAAAAGCAAATGAGCCTAGAATATAAAATCTTGTTTTTAATACCACTTTCTAATAAAAGGAACCTGGGTTCCTTGGAGAAATGACTCATTCTGGGACTTGAGCAGGAGATACCAAGATGAGCCTGGCACTCTTCTGCTAGAAAGTACAAAACAACCCAGCCAACACGAGAACACAGTGATGGGTGTATAGCAAAAGGGAATGTCTGTGGAAGGAGTCCCCAGGGGCCATCCTGGTACAAGCAGAACAGGAAAGTAAAGTAGTACTGGAGTATAACCCAAAGTGTAAAATATATACCCATACACTCATGGTGTTATAAATGAATGATTTAATAATGAGTTGGAGAACGGGGACAATTCTCCCCTGCAGAATAATTCCAAATAATTTATGTAGGTCCTCAGCACAGAGCATAATCCTCTACTTAATTGTAAGCTGTGTATGGTGAATTTTTTCCAAAGAGTACAGTATGGAAAGGGGGATGCAGGGAATTTACAGTGAAAACCCAACGAACACTGCTCCAGCTGGTCATCAGAACTCATGCTGACACCAGTAGTGATGGTGATGGTATATGCCCGTAATGGCATGTAATGACAGTAGTACTTTACCTCTGGTCTTCTTCCCCCAAACCTTATAACCCCAGCCCAACCATAAAAAAATATGAGATAAATCCTAAATGAGAGGCATTCTACAAAAATCGGGTCAGTGCTTCCCAGAAATGCCAGAGCCATCAAAACAGAATGAAAGTCTGAGAAACTGTCATACCTAGAAGTCCAAAAGAGACATGATGACTAAGCGTAGTGTAGTGCACAATCCTGAGACAGATACAAGATGTGAGGAAAAAATTGAAGTTGCTACAAAATACAGACTTTAATTAATAGTCTATCACTGTTTTGTTAATTATGACAAATGTACTGTACTAACATAAGATACAGTATTTATAATAGGAGAGATAGTTAGGGATATGGGAACTCTGTCTTACCTTTGCAACAACTCTAACTCTATAGCTGTCTAAAAAAGTTTACAAAATGAAATTTTAAAACTTATGACAAGCTTAAAGCTTACTTAAAAGGCATTTAAAATATAGATAGAAATTGAGAAATAAACTTAGTATATACCAAAACACAATGTTAAAAACTTTAAAATGCAGGGTAACTAATACAGGGTAAGTATTGAGGGGGAAAAGTACTCGATGTTTTTGATTATGAAAGTTCCTTAGGCAGTCCCTGAAGAAAACATGACTTCTCAGAGAAATCATCTGTAGCCAGGTGCATTGTGCTTTATGATAAACAGGGCCCATGAGCCACTGGTGCTTCCTTAGTGTTTCATCAGGCTTCACACTTCACCCTTTTCCCATTCTATTCTTATTTACCTCCACTCCCACTTTCCTTTTCAACAGAAGAGCCTTCCTAGGTCCTTCATCAGCATAACTGATTAAAAATTCAGAGTTATGCAACATTTTCCTAATGAGCATCTACTGTATCACTAGCATATGCCAGATCCTGCTTGGAGAGATGAAAGGCAGCCTGGTTTGGCAGAAAATTCTCTGTCATTGTTCTTTTTTACTGTATCCAGAATACCAGTAAAAAAGTGAAATGAAGCACTTTTCTTACTTGTAGGTGCAAATATCCTGCGAGACTCAACAGGTAACGTTAAACTAGGAGATTTTGGGGCCAGCAAACGGCTTCAGACCATCTGCCTCTCGGGAACGGGAATGAAGTCTGTCACAGGGACACCATACTGGATGAGCCCTGAAGTCATCAGCGGAGAAGGCTATGGCAGAAAAGCAGATATCTGGTAGGTTTTAATGTGAGATATATCTGGGAACCGACCTGCCACCTTTACATCTTTCTATTCAAGATTGAAATTATTGGTTTAAATTTTCTTTTGAACTTTTGGAATAGGATATATGAACTACAAGGTCCATTACCATTTTAATTTTACCTTACTTTGGCTTACACTTGACTTTTAAAGTCTCTGAACCTATCTTCACTTATTTATGAAGGATTTTTTCTTATTTCCCTGAAACAGTTTTAAGAAATTAATCTTTGTTGGAAGTGTTCTTAGAATTCAGTTAATTTTTAATTAATAATTTTAAATTAGAATATAAAATGGTCATTTCCTATTTCCTGCCTAGAAAAAACTGTAAGAGACATTCATTTTAAGTATCTGAGGGCGAGCACTTGGGAGGCTGAGAAAGGATCACTGTAAGTTGTAGGGCAGCCTGGACTACATAAGTGAGTTCAAGGGCAGCCTGCACTACATAGTGAGACCCTGTTTTAAAGAAAACAAATAAAACAAGTACTTGAGGGCAAACAATTTATTTTTGAAGGCAGTTTCTAATACTTGATTTTTTGTAAAATGAAGACAAAAATTATTTTTGAGGACAAGTTAGAAAATTACACAGAACAAAAATAATAAAATGAATAATATTTTTGTATAACCTATAGGTTAAGTGATAATATTAAATTGTGATATATTTCCACTAATTTTTATATCTAAATTGCAATTTTATGTCATGATCATGTCCACCCTTTCCCTTCAGTACTGCAGATAGAACCCCAGGCTTTGCATATACAAGGTAAGTGCTCTACCACTGAGCTACAGGCCCTACCCTAATTACAGCATTTTAAGGAAACGTGAAACTTTAAACCAAGTCATATTTAAATGTTTTGGACTTTACTGTCATTTTCTGGCTAAGCAGTTTTCTTCCCTAATGTTACTGCTTTTGTAATGGATTTCTGTTTGTTTCTTTTTAGGAGTGTAGCATGTACTGTAGTAGAAATGCTAACTGAAAAACCTCCGTGGGCTGAATTTGAAGCAATGGCTGCCATCTTTAAGATCGCCACTCAGCCAACAAACCCAAAGCTGCCACCTCATGTCTCGGATTATACTCGAGACTTTCTCAAACGGATTTTTGTAGAGGCCAAACTGAGACCTTCAGCTGATGAACTCTTAAGGCACATGTTTGTGCATTATCACTAGGAGCTGGTGACCTCTCCTGTGCCTCCACCCAGCTCCCATCTGTTCATTCACCTCTCTCTCACTGCACTTTTCTTTTTTATGAAAAAGAGAGATGGGGGAGGAAAAAGACAAGAGGGAAGATATTTCTCTTGATTGTTGGTTAAATTTGTTTAATAATAATAGTAACCTAAATTTTTTATATTTAATCTTTTTTTTCCCCTCACAAGAACTTGAAACTTCTTTTTTTAAAACTTTTTATAATGTACTGATGTGGTTAAGAGAGATAAAGCACTTTAGTACACAGTCACTCTTTCTAGTACAAACAAATCATTTGGAATACCTAAAGATTGTAGAGTCTTTCCCAGCATCACAGATTGGTGGTGATGGGGAGATGTGGAAGAGGAGGAGAAAAAGTAATGTACAGTTTATAGTTTTTAGTGATAGTATTTAAAATAGTTCCTCATTTGTGGAGTTGAGCCCTAAACTTAAATTTAGGGTAGGTACTCAACCTAAAGAATATTGGTTCCTTTTTATCTGTATTCTTTAGATCTTAACCTCTGTCTACCAAGCTTTTTGCTCAGTAGGAATCTGGGTAGAAGATACGAATCTCTAAGAGGTATGTTTATTTGTTAATCTTAACCATATAGTAAGCAGATACAAGATAATAGATCCATGTTACTGGAATCTATTGACTTGAGGGGTGGCTTTCTGCTTAAAAAAAGATAAAATTTATTTTAAAGCAGATATGGGAACTCCATGAGTAATTTCAGCTAAAAGACACAATTGGTCTCATTAAATGTGTGAACAGAAAAGACCACATTTGCCAGTAAACAGAAATAATGAAAAAAAGAACAAAGTATTGATTAGTATATTTTAAACTGTTCTTTTTGTGAGGGGGAATGTCCTAAAATTAAGGAAATTGAGAAATAATAAAAATCATGTATACTCTTTTCCTATTTCTAGCTCCTGATTTTCCATACGTAACAGCCTTTAGGAATTTAGAGTTCAGCCTGCTGGAATATTAAAGCTAGTAGCATGAGATGAAGCTGTTTTTCTTGGGATCACAGAATACTAAAGCACTTCAAGAAATACATCATGTAAAACAGTGAGATAGGGATGATTTTACTTCACTTGGCATTTGGCAATGCCTGGAGACATTTTTGTGTGTCACAACTGGGATGGTACTCTTGGCCTCTTGTGGATAGAAGCCAGGGATGCTGCTAAGTAGCCTGCAGTGTATGACAGAACTCCTACTCCAAAGAATTGTCCTGCTTCAAATGGGAAAACTGCTGAAGTTGAGAAAACTTATGTAAAAGCTAGTCCCAACTATAAACTGAAAATGGCCTTTTTTTGTCTTTTTGAGACAGGGTCTTGCTATGCAGTTCAGGCTGGCCTTGAGCTCACTTTGTAGCACAGGCTGGTCTCAAACTTGCAATAATCCTCTTGCCTCAGCCTCCAGAGTGCTGGGATTACAGGTGTGTGCCACCACACTCAGCTCATTTACAAACCAATAAATGCAGAAAACCAAATTTTTAAAAGAAAGGTTGTATCACAAAATGAGGGTTTTATAAGAACAGATAAGGGGCCGGGGATATAGCTCAGCAGTACAGCACCTGCCTGGCAAGTGCAAGGTCCTGAGTTCGATTCCTGATACCTAAAAAAAAAAAAAAAAAAAAGAGCAAATACTATTACTTTTAAGTCAAGGGTAAAAGATGCCAACAAACAGTACATAGTAATCACTTCTTTGCTAGGTTTATATTGTACCCAAATCAGTAATTCTTCCATTTGAGAAGCAAAATGAATTTAACTACTGAGCCTTTTGAGCTCAGTATTGATACATATTCTTTCCTTAAAAGATAACTCATAATTGTGGGCAAAGAAATGCATATCAAAACAAAGTGTTCACTACCAACAGGAAGGTTCAAACTGTCAGGTATTTCTAGTATAAGATACCAACTGAGGGCAAACACAGCTGGGAAAGATCCCATCATCTCTAATGGAGTCATGCTTCTGAAGAAGACAAGGCTGTCAGTTGTTGGACCACTTGCAGTTTTTCAGAATCGAGTAAGTGCTAAGTACTTTAAAGGTCTAGAAAATAATCATCTTCTGGAGGGCCCTAAATGTGATGTCTTTCAAGGGATTCATAAGGGACTAAAGTATTCTTATTTTCTGTGCAAGGTATGTGCGCTTAGAGACACTTAAAGTACTTTGTTTTGAGTTAGGTAGATCTCGGTTTATCCTTTAAGGTCCAATCTGGCATTCCTTCGAAATCCCACTAGCTTAGTTTCAGAAGTCAAAGCACAAAATTACTTGTCAGTGCTTCTCCCATTTTCTGAGTATCAAAGGAAGCAGCTTGCAAAAAAGAACAAGAATTAGATGCCTCCTCCCTTCGTAAATCAACTGCGTAATCTTGTGCTGGAACCATAATCCCCAAGTGTGTGGATCTGTTATAATTCCTTTATCTTTTATGGGTGAGGACATCTTTCTACTTGAACAAAATCACAGTATCTGGACCAGTAGGCTTTTCTTTTGTTTCTTGTCTTGTGTGATGATGATTTCCCTTTGGCTCAGTTTTGGTCTGTCAGGGTAACCAGCAGTGAAGAAGACAAGTTAAATGCTCTTTAGAGAGCAGTCTCAGGAGACTTGTGGAACTCAAAGCAAAAGTGTTTGGTTTTTCAGTCTCCTTTTCTAAATGCTATAGTACCTGAAAAGAAACTGCTACCTTATCACTGCTGCAGAAGACCTTTGCTTTATAAGAAAGATATTATTAGCTATGGGAAAGTAATGTTTTCTATGTAAAGACTGAAGAATAAGACTAATAGTTTACAGAGTTATTATATAGAATATGATGTGAATTTATTTCAAACAAGTTGTGAAGGTACCAAAAAACACAATAAAAGTTAATATATTAAAAAACTATGAGAACAAAAAAGCTTGAAGTATGGGGTGGGAACATGGAAGACCAAAAGAACATTTTAAAAACAAATTGTGGAAAGGAAACACCTTTATCAGGGGAAATTAAATATTACACTTCCATTTTTCCTCTTATAATGGTATGGATCAACAAACACAGTTTGAACTTTCTAAGATGACTAAATATATTTTGCTTTTTAAATGCACAACTGATCTTTCTATACTGTAATGTTTCTTTGCTGAGGCTGGAAAATGGCCAGACTGCTGACTTGTGCCTTTAAAATGCATTCTGCTTTGACAGTGGCAGACTTTCTGGTGCTGGAGAAGATTCACTAGCAGTCTTTTATGTGCTTTTCAGGAAGTACCTTTCTACTTAAGCCTTGAGAGATTCAAAGTGACATGACATAGGCTTGGACCAAATATAAGATCTTTTACATTACAAAATATATTGAATAAAAGGATTGAAAAATGTGTGGAAATTTTGATGGGTTGGCAGTTATTTAAAATATGTTTAAAGGTAGACAGACTTAAAAAAATCTTGAAATGTTTCAGTATTTTTCCTTGTTTACGAAACCTTTTTTAACTTAAAAAAGCACTAAGACTATTGCCTTAGAAAGTTTTAAAAGGTACAGTCACCCTTACATGATGTGTATAAGAGATTGAATATTGAGGCATAAGTGAAAACTCTGATTCCAGAATGAGTTGAATTGGCTTCCATTTGAAAGTGTTTACCTGATTCCCAGTAGAAACTACATAAAAAGGGTGAAAATATTTCTTTAGAATGGCTTTCTGCTCTTACGGCTCTATACAAGTCAGGTTAGATCTGTGTGTTTCTGAGATGGAGGTTGTAAGATATGTGAAATCATGAAGAAAATGAAATGAAATCTGAATAATTTAACAGTATGAGTAAGCCAAATGAAGATTCCTTGGCCAACAACAGAGTTCTGTGCCATCAGTTTCATTTGGGGTCTAGGAATGACTAACTTGATGTAAAATCACCTGGTATCAATCACATCTCCACATCTCTCCATTTCTTTAAAGTAGGGTATCTTTTAATTTGCTTTCCAGTATTTGTGACCTAGCATGTCAAGTATGAAATTAACGTTCTTGAGGTCACATTTGAGAAGGAATATGGGCAAACAATTACTTCATGGCAGACCCTAAATACGAAAGTTCAGCAATGATTTTTTGAAAATGTTATAATTTTTTTTAATGAAGTAAGGGGAAAGCAATTTGGGTAATCATTGGCTCTTATAAACCAAAATGTCATTAACAACAGGAATTATAGTAAAAGTAGCCCCAAATTTAGGGGAACCCCCACAGTCAGACAGCCTCTTTCTCTCAGGATCGCCTCTTACAACAAAACACAGCCTCTATTCAAACAGTCCCAGGGATAGCAAACATTTATTCCGTAATACTACCCCACCTGCCCCAGCAGTCTTTTAAAGAAAATTTTTTTCTTTTGTTCTAAATTGTGAAAAAACTCAAAAATATTTAGTAGAAATCAAACTCTTGTCAGCAGTGTTATTTATGCTAATAATAGAACAGTTTCGTAAGACCATATTTTATCTTTAAGTTTGGAGTTGCTTTAAATATTTATTTGAATTTAAGATTGATTAAATGGTAACATAAAGCAGTTTAATTGTTGGTTTTTAGTAGTGCCTTTTTCTCTGTATGCCTTACTTTTATTTTATATTACTAATTCAAAGTTACCAATCAAAATGAAGTTTTTTTCCCCAAAGTCAGTAGGCTTCAAGAGTTTAGACTGTGTTGGCCCTTACGTGTTTAATGCCTGCTTCCTTCTCTTGCCCTTTTCTACCTCTTTTTTTTTAATGTTAGGAAAGAAACATCCGTGCTTGTCTGAGATACTAAATAAGCATAGGAAGAGTTATTCAAAATAGGTGTAATAAATTGTTTTCTGGGTTGATTACTTGACTTTCAATCACACTGGCATTCTCCAGGTTCTTTTGTATATCATGGTTCAGTTGTGATTTTCATACCAGACCTAGAGTAGTTGTTTTGCTTAAAGAGGTTGTTTAAACAGTCTTACAAATAATAATGCAGTGAATGAGGTACAGGGCAATGAGCAAGAAATATGGAGACAGTAAATTCTAATCCTTATTACTTAACATTTTGACACTCTAGCTTTTTTATGAAGAGAGAGGAGAGTGTGTGTGTGTGTGTGTGTGTGTGTGTGTGTGTGATGTCTGGAGTTGAGTGAGAGGAAAGGGAAGGAAGCAAAGAAGGAAAAGGGGGAGAGAGAGGAAGGGAGGAAGGAAAGAGAAAAGTGTGAATGTTCAATTAGATCAGTCTCTGTTCTGAGAAGATCAACACGAAAATGTATGACCTACTGACCATGAATGAAAATAATCATCTTCCAGTAGGAGTGCCAGTACATTTTTCCTAAGTAGCTAGTGTAAATGATTCTTAATAAAGGTATTTATTGTAAATTGCGAAGCTCTTGGTTGCTAAAAGTAGACTAAAATTCAATTTGTGTGTGTGTATTGTAATGAGCTTACATATAATTCTTAGATAGAAAGTAATTGATCTACATAGTTCTTCATGAACTCTTTGGAATAGAAGTCCTGCCAGACACTAAACAAGCTTCCTTAGCTTACCAAGTATTCTAAAGGAATTCTCTTATACCTCTTTTTGGTTGGCTAGGGAATGTGTGCTGTGAAAACTCCGTTCCTACTTCATAGTTCTCTTTAGCTTTGCTTGGACTTCTGCCATGGCCTGGATAGGATGCCATAACCGGTGTGGAAAGTATCAGGGCCACCCATCTCTCTTTGTTCTCACTTTTTGGAGGTGTAGATTTTAATAAGCTCTCAGGGGAGCCTAGGAATTCTTTACTCGGTCCAAGTGATAGTGGTCAGGGTTGACCATGGAGGTAAAGAGGAGTTATAGCTCTAGTAAAGAATAAATTGTATCTGTTGCCTATATACAGTGTCATATAATTCATGTTTTTCATAGATTGTGCATTTAATCAACAGTGATACAGTCATACAGTATTTTTGTTAATAACAAAGCCTGTCAG